CAGATGACAGTCTGAGAACTTAACGTATTTTGCAAATGATGTATTGGACTGTTCTCAAGCCGAAGGGTATCAACTTGTTGGAATAAAGAGCCAGTCGGAGGGACTCATCTCAACTTGCAAGTGGCCAGCTGACTTACTTGGTGGCATCTCGTCGCTTTCACCTGCATGCACTGGATTTAAAAGGGACAGATCTTCTGGGCAAGATGAAATGGAAGACTGGGGAGTATATTGCCCAGTCCAGTAGCACATGAACTAGAGGAGAGTAATTACCTAGCGAGTATATCGCTGGTATACATGAATCAGTACAAGATGATGGACACAGTGAGAGGATAGTCAGACTCACCTCAGTGCCGTAGTGTGTGAACTGAGGAAAGAGTGGTGAGATTCAAAAATTCCTGCCTTGATCGCTAGGCCCTATGATTTTCTTTTTCTAACACAAGAAAACGATGCAACAACTGCATTCGCGACAATGTCGAGGTATGTTCATAGTTCTGTATTCATCATCCCTTACTCTAGTATCTCATTTCCCTTTTTAAACAAGGCTTTTTCTTCAAGGGCATTCCCTCGCCTATTCCCTTACAGGTGTAGAATACCCAAAGGAGAACAGGATCACCCCCCCACATTTATTGAACACATCGGATGGTGCTTACAGTATCATGATGGGTGTTTTTGCAGAGACCATTCGTTCCCTTGTTCCCTTTGGTATCTACCAACCACAGGGCCTCAATTCGGAGCAAAATCTGGAGTCAAACGATCAAATGGCCCCCCCAGTCTTTGGGTTACAATCAACCCAAGGAACCAAGTTTGTGTGGGGACAAGTCCATGCACCGCAAAAAGTCGGATTCTGTGGATTCTACCCAACAACGCACACTACATACCCACCTATGCTTCAATTGCTCATTCCCTCACTATCTAACACTCCATACACCCATTCCCTATTTTTCCATATTTTTCCCATCATTCCCGACAGTCCCAGGTCAATTTCCCACACCCAACCACACAGCCAATTTCACCCCCTCCCCAGACCTCCACAACTACACATCAAACATAGCCATTTTTCTGCCCGATGGTGATGCTCTACCTTCCCCCCTTCACTCATGGAGCATTTCCCAGAATGGAAACCCCATTGGTTCAGCACGGTGTAGAGCCTCACATGGTGTTGACAGCACCTGTCAATGGCCATATCTCAGGAACTACTGCACCAATCGGGACAAATGAGGGTTCGTTGGAAAGCTGGAGATGGGGAGGTTGCTGACGGGAGGATAGGCGGGCGCTGTAGCGAAGTGTTGCGGAGTTAACCCTTACAATTTCCATTTCGGATCCGTTGTCACAATTCCCCCATTCATTCTATATCTTTTATTGTTTCTCTGTCCCTGATTGGACATTCTTTATTTACAGTTGCCTATCGGCCCGTTTGCATTTCCCCATTGCATTCATTTTATTTCCAGCCCATATAAAATAGAGAAACCTTGTACATAACAAGTTAGTACTGAATAGACCCATGAAGTGTTAGTTTGAGGTTTTTACAGACCTAGTAGCACCCCTGGACCAAAACCCGACCTCCCAACCTGTACCTGCGCATCACTACAACCCTCCCCCTCTTCTCTGTCTCAAAGTCAAGGTGATCGACCCATTACAACATTTGAAGGAACCGAAGGACCAAATGCTATGGAAAGAATGCAAAACTTGGTGGCAGATCTGTATCTCACGCAGCAAATGCAAGTCCATGACAAGGAATGGACAGTACTGTTGACATGGGAAGTGCAAAGACCGACATATCAGGATGCTATGGAAACTGTTAGTAGGAAAAGGAGACCAGCTAGGAATGGACATGGGGGAAGAACCATGGCTGGAGCAGTGCCAGTGACATCGCATCATGCAGTGCAAATGCAATGGAACAACCGGCTTTGCATAGGCACTGCAAAAAGACAGGGAATCCGATTCCAAGCAGAGGATATTAAAATAGGAGCTATTATGCGTAAACTCAGTCTCCATATGGAGAACTAATATTATTGTTTTTTTTTTACCTATTACACATCAACTATAACATGAAAGTACAATGAGTTATATGCAAACATAGCAAGAAGGAAATGGTATCACCTCAAGGACAAACGATGGAATACTTGTGGCAGACATCGGAACACCATCAAGGGGAGCGTTGACACCATTTAGCACATACATAATAACACTATCACATGTAAGAGGATTGGGAAGGAGGACAAAAGGAGAGTGGGAGCAGACAACGGTGGGGGTGTAGTGCAGAATGGAGAAAGTAGACATGTGGAAAGGATCTGGCGAAGATGTAATGAGAATTGAGAAAGAAGATGACATAATTTCAGCATCGAAATTTCACTAATATTGCCATGGTGAAGAGACTCTTTTGGCAGCAACTGTTCCGAGAAAGGAAACACACATAGATCACAAGCGCTGCTAGACTCAACATCACCAATTGTGAGTTGGCCTCAGCATCATCCTGGTTCAGTACAACGGAGGAGGGTGGAGACCATGTGGTGAAGTTAACCTACAAGTTCTCATTTTTATGTTCAGGTGGCGCCAACAGTTATTGTGACAAAGTTTGTGTCACAACTGTGACAAAAGTGGTGATGCACAGGGGGAACAGAAATGTATCTGTGATGGCTTTTTGTCACAATTGTTGTGACACAAGCAGTGATTGCATACTCTATTTCTCCAGGGGGAAACAGAAATCACCACTTGTGTCACAATATTGTAACAAAATGTTGTCACAGAGGCATTCTGTTCCCCCTAGAGGAACAGAGTATGCATTACCGGTTGGGTCACAAAAATTGTGACACAAGTTGTCACTGCATTTTCTGTTCCCCCTGGAGGAACAGAGTATGCATCACTGGTTTGGTCACAAATATTGTGACACAAGTTGTCACCACATTTCTGTTCCTCTAAAGGGATCTGTGTGCTTTCGTCAGCTTGAGGAAAGCCTATTGCAATAGAAAGAGTGTCAGCACCTCCAAGAGGAACAGAAGTGCATCTGTCACAAAGTTTTGTCACAAGATTGTGACACAAACGGTGATGCATACTCTGTTCCTCCAAGGGGAACAGAAATGTACCACTATGCTTTCGTCAGCTTGAGGAAAGCCTATTGCAATAGAAGGAGTGTTGGCACCTCCAGGAGGAACAGAAATACAGTGACAACTTGAGTCACAATTTTTGTGACACAACAAGCAGTGATGCACACTCTGTTCCTCCAGGGGGAACAGAAAATGCAGTGACAACTTGTGTCACAATTTTTGTGACTCAACCGGTGATGCATACTCTGTTCCTCTAGGGGGAACAGAATGCCTCTGCGACTACATTTTGTTACAATATTGTGACACAAGTGGTGATGCACACTCTGTTCCTCCAGGGGGAACAGAATGCCTCTGTGATGACATTTTGTTACAATATTGTGACACAAGTGGTGATGCACACTCTGTTCCTCCAGGGGGAACAGAAGTGTGTCTGTGACAACATTTTGTTACAATATTGTGACACAAGCGGTGGTGCACACTCTGTTCCTCTAGGGGGAACAGAAGTGCATCTGTGACGACAATTTTTGTCACACAAGCGGTGATGCATACTCTGTTCCTCCAAGGGGAACAGAAGTGCATCTGTGACAACTTGTGTCACAATATTTTTGTGACCCAACCGGTGATGCATACTCTGTTCCTCCAGGGGGTACAAAAATGTGCAAGCCAAAGTAAAACTTGCTAGGGTGCCCTACTGCTTGATGCCCTAGCGCTAGGGCAAGCTGAACCTGGTCCCTAGGAATTTTTTGACCCTAGGGCAGGATGACCCAGGTTAGGGCTAGGGATCCTGCCCTAGGGATTTTTCAAACCCTGGAACCCTAGGCCCCCTCTTAAGATCATCCAGGTCCGTGTTGGTTGAAAAATGATGCATGCAATTTACATCCAGGCCCTCCTTTGTAGTTATGAGGACCCACCCTTCTCTTGTTCAATGGACCCGCTCTTTTCGTGTCCTATTAATAATGCACCCTTACATGTAGATAAGTTTCGACCTGACTATTCAACCCTGGAATGGTGTATTTGGACTGAGGCATTGCAACAATTAATGCAACATTGCGATGATCGTTCGCTGACATGTCCCATTTGAAGCGATATTCAGGGTATTTTCTCCTTAGCTTAATGAGTGAACAAAGACTCCATCGATCCTGACTCCGGCTGTGTTCAGAACATCTCTTAAATGTCTCTTAGCCATTATGTGGTTGTACAGAATAGGTGTATGTACGGAGTTGGCTGGATTTGTTGTTTTCGACCAGACTCGTACCCAGTCGTTTTTGCTCTGTGGATGCGTGCAGCACACTGCAATGTGGAAATGTAACTAAGTAACTTTTGTATTCAATGTAAAGTCACGTTCTGCTTTCAATACAAAGAGTCACATGCTATGGGGATAAACTCAAGTCTGATCACCTACTCCGAAAATTTGTGTGCGACACTTCACTCTAACGACTGGTACACATTGGCAGTGGCAGTACACTTAGGCATTTGCCGAATTTGCCGCCCGATCCCTCTTGAGCCCACTTACATTGCCTTCCAAGCTCGCACTCTCAGATCTCCTCATGCCTTCCTCAGAGAGGCACACACACTCAGTCTGGCCACCCCCAGTTGATTTCATCATAGCTAAGAGTGAGCAGGAATGGAAGAAGCGAGCATGCCGCTTCCAGGCTGAAATTGTGCATTTTTTGCTTCGGAAGCCTAAAAAGGACTTGGTTTCTACTGCCACTACAGGAAGTGGAAAAACATATATTTTCTTCCTCCTCCCTTCAGCAGTTGTGTATGATTTTTTTCGGGGTGAAGCTGGAACTCATATGGTGGTTCCCCAAGTCCTGATCGTAGTTCAGGCAGGTATTCCTCAATGAATGTCGACACGATATGCCATTGACAATGTTCCTTCAGTCGCTGGCCTGCAGCCATTTTGGGGAAAATATCCTCATATGTTGTACCTTGGAATGGATTAATTCCTAGTTCATTGTTAGGGCTCCGCTCCCACAAGTATTTTGCATACTCAAGATCTATGGGTAGTACGCCATTGTGCATGTTGAGGAACAGTCCGGTAGTGATACTTTCAAACATCTTCTCATTGAGATCAGTTGGCTGCCCCACACCGAACTTGAAGTCACAGTTGTCGTATGCAATATTGACCACCCTTGTTGCCCCAAGGGTCTTATTGGTTTGTTTCTGGTTGTTGATAAGTGACTCGTGTAAGTTCTCGATGGAAGTGGGCGAAACAGCAATCCCAATGTGTGCAGCCCACTGTCGGATGGACCTGGATGTGTTGGATGCTGCAAGGTAAAATGCATGCTTGGTCTGTAACGCATTACATTTGTCATTGGAGCTGTGGATCAAGATGGAAAGGATGACGGTGGTCTTCTGTTAAGGGTAAGTCCTTGACCTTAGGGAAATTGCTATAGTACTCACCACATCGAATAAATGACTATTTCTTACCGTGGTATTGCGGTGCTTGTGGTCATTGTCCCCAAATTGCTCCTCAAGTTCTCCCCCTACTTCAGTTGTCACCATGGCATCCCTGGTAATTCCATATTTTCTCCGTCTGCGCTGTTTTCCATCGGTGTTTAGTAGCTGATGTATGGCTTTCCATAAGATCGGTGCCTTCTGTTGGAAAGTAACCTTCAGCACGCTGATCCGGCTGGCCTCAAGCTGTTCTGCTCGCATCCTAGAGATGCTCATATGAAGCCCAGCAGCCTTATCTGAAAGGTCTTGCATTTCTTTCTCATACATTGACTGTACAATATCTAGAATCCATTCCTTGAGATCGGGATGTTGTCCTAGATCATTCTCAAGGTTCCATCGGTAGTCGCTGTAGTGTGTTGAGGCACAAATTGTGATAAGCAAAGTAGAGAGTGAGATTCCCTCCCTACTCATGAAACTCAAGACCTTTTCTTTTTTTTTTGGTGGAACCCCAGTAGCTTTCGCGATACATTTTCATGTATTTGGGGTTTGTATAGGGAGGTAGGTCCCGTGGAGTAGATAGGTTTGTGGGAGTGTTGGACTGCCACCGCGGGGAAATGCGTTACGCACTGGCCAGGTGTCGGCGCTGTGTGGGACTCCCAGACCCGGGGGGGTCCGGTATACCCACTAAAACCCCGATGCTGTTGAGCCAGTTGTCCGGTAGTATGTCTTTGTTGTGAAGGTTCCCACTCCAGGTAAGCAGGACTGTTTTGGCCGGCAGGGCTTTCCGGCTGTACTTCTTACGGTTTGTGAGGGCAATGTCTTGCTGGAGCTTGTCGTTGAGGCCGGCTTTCAGGGCATTTCTTACTTCTCTTAGTGAGATTTGCGGGTGATCGGCATCTATAACTCTGCAGCATCTGGTCTTCCAGACTTGCCATGCACATTCTAGGACTACAATTCGGTACAGTCTGGTTTCGCCCATCCTTACTTTACCGTTGGTGTTCATTATCTTGGTTAGTGGGGCAGCCATTATGTGTGAGGTGTTTAGGTCGTTAGGCCATTCTATTTTCTGGTGATCGCATATCGCCTTGGCTGTGGACCAAACCCAGGTGCCGTGATTGAGGGGACATTCAAAGAGTATGTGTGTCATTGATTCTGTTTGTTGGCACCCATTGCATTCACCACGGTGTTCGAAGCCTAGGATTTTATTCCAGTAGTTGCCGATCTTGAGGCAGCTATGGGTTAGTTTCCATACAAAGTTGCGGATTTCGGGGGAGACATCTTTATGGTTTTTCCCTAGGTTCTCCCAGATCTTGTTTTGTGTGGGGGAGTCATTGTTCATACTCGCCAGGGTCGTTTGGATTTTGGTGATGTTGTTAAGCGTTGCTATTTTCCATACCGGGTTTTTCGCTAATCTGGTTCTGCATATTAGTCTTGTTGCTGTGGACTGTTTTAGGGAAATTAGGCGGGCACCGCTCGGTATGTGGGGGAGGGGGTCAGGAGCCAGTTGTGCTCCTATTGCAGCAAGGTTGTCCGCTTCTTCGTTTCCACAGATCCCAGCATGGCCTTTTAGCCATTCGAATGTGGTAGGGGTGAGTCTGGATCTTAATGCGCTTACTGTTAGTTTGGTGATGTATTGATTCTTGGCATAGGCGTAGTCTGAGTCTTCTAAGGATTCGAGGTTGTCACAGAGGGTGCTGATGCACCATTGTGAGTCGGCCTTGATGTGGAGGTTGGATGACGGGGGTACGGATATCACGGCATAGTGTATGGCCAGCATTTTGGCTGTATTATTAGATTGTGGGAGATGGGGGTTAATTCTTTTGCTGGTATTTCGGGGGTTGTTTGGGCCGTACCACACTCCGAAGCCGGCTGTGGCATTTGTGTTCCCGTTTAGGGAGCAGGATCCATCTGCATATGCTATCTCGTCATTAGGTTGTAGGAGATGGGGGGTGGGGGTGATTGGGAGTTCTGGGGGGGGTCTGCCGAATACCCTATAGTGGTGGTCAAGTGGCGTGCAGGAACTGGGGGCCAGGTGGAAGATTTTAATGGCCATTGGGTCCCCGGCTATGTGTTGTCTGGCCGTTTCTCTGGGATTGCGGTCCGGTTGGGAGAGGAGGTGTGAGTCGCTGTAGGGGTTGTAGTGGAGGTCAAGGTTCGTGGATATTTTTGTCGCCATTTGGTAACAAGCGTCAGGGTTCTTACAGCCGTTAGCTTTGTAGGACTGGCACGGTGTGCAGGGACATTTGGTTTTTTTGGTTGGGTCGTGGCATGGGTTTTCTTGGTGGTCTGTTTGGATGATTAGATCGCCCACCCGTTTGCATCCATGAGTTGCCCTCAGGCAGCATGCCGGTTTTGAGCGGTCGCTGATTTGGGTGTTGTCTCTCAGGCCCGGATGGGCCCAGGCTGGTAAGTTGAGTTTGGTGTCTAGGTCGATTGTCGGGTTTTCTAATCTAAGGTTGTATTTTGCACCGATGTTTAGAGAGTTGTGGAGTTCGGCTGGGATGTTTCTTCGGTGGGTCCGGGCGTTAAGGAAGGGTTTCTGGATGAGGACCTCTGTGATGATGGGGTATGCTGGGTTTTGGGGCTGTTGGTTTTTCGGGAGAGTAGCCATCAGGATTGCTTCAGCAGCGTCTGGGGCCGGGGGTCTGTTGGGTGATCTGTCGAGGATTTTTTGGAGTTTGATGAGGTGGATCGCCTTGTTCCTGTCTTGTAAGTTTAGGACATTTTTACCGCCTTGATCTCTTGGACTATTCAGCTGGTTCATGCTGATTGGGGGGGGGGCTGTCTGAGTTCCATATGAATTCACGTATTCTTCTGTTCAGGTTTCTTTCCACGTCTTTTGGCATTCCTTGGGCCCGGGTGTGAAATTGGGTCATACCTCTGATGGTCATCTGGATAATTAGGCGTCTACCTTCGATGGATGGGTGGGTTTTGTTCCATTGGGTGAGTGATTTCTCGATGTTGGCTGTGATCGTGGGCCAGGGGTCTTTATGGTTGGGCTTGTTCCTGCATTGGGCCCCTAGGTATCTCATAGTTTGTCCATCCTTTAGTATGGTTATTGATTCATCTAGCTTGTCGCTGGAGGAGGGGTTAATGGATCTCTCGCTGTGGGCCCATTTGCGGAAGTCTGGTGAGCCGACAGGGAGGACAACTGTCTTTTCTTGGTTGAACTTTGCCCCAGAGGCAATGCACCAGCGATCTAATGTCGTGAGTAGGTCATTCAGGTCATCATCTTTGGAGAGGAAGATAGCCATGTCATCGGCAAAGAGGGATATTATGACTCTTTGTGAGATTGTGGGTGTTTTGACTTCTAGTCCTTTGAGGGACGGAGATTCTCTCAGGGCAATTGATAAGGGTTCTATGGCGATGTTGAACAGGAGGCATGATAGTGGGTCACCTTGGTGTACCCCTCTGGTTATTGGGAAGTCTTTACTGATTTCGCCATTTAGGATTACTTTAGTCTTGGCTTCGGAATAGAGGTTTCTGATTGTTGATATTAGTTCTGGTGGGATTCCCATGGTTTCCATGACCCTCCAGAGGTAATCATGGCGGATGCGGTCATTCGCCTTTTCTTGGTCGAGGGCAATGATTGCGCTGTCCTGTCCGGTTAGTTCACACAGGTCCATCATGCGATTTATGAGGTCAATTTGGTCAAAAATGCTTTGGCCTTTCATGAAGGCTGCTTGGCATTTGTGGATAAGGAGGGGAGCTATCGGGGATAGCTTATTCATGAGGGCTGTCGTGATGATCTTATATTCAGCGTTTAGTACAGTTATGGGCTTGTAGTTTTCGATTTCTCTTTTATCTTTTTTTTTGTAGAGTGGGCATAGCCATCCTTCCAAGAATTGTGGGCATGAGGTGCCATTTTTTTCGATGTCGTTGGCTAGGAGAGTTAGGAGTTTTACTACGTGAAGGCCTTGGTTATCATTTTTCCACTTTTCCCACCTGGAGTTCAGGTTTTTGTATAGCTCGGTGGGTATTCCGTTCAAGCCAGGAGCTTTTTCGTTAGGGGATTGTTTTAGTGCTTTGTCTATATCTGCAAGACTTAGCGGGGTGGCCAGGTCTGAGTGTATTTCCGGGGGGATGTGGTTCCGGATGAGGTTGAGGGTGTTCGTAATGTGGGTTTCCCTTGCTTCCTGGTGGGTGGTTAAGTCTCTGTTTTGCACATTGTTGTAGTGGTTGGCAGCGATATTTGTCATTTCTTCCGATTTGGATGTGTATGCTGGTGGGTTGGAGTCCGGGATTCTCAGTTCGGATATTGTGTCGCGTGGTTTGTTTTCCTTCCCCCATTTGCACCAGTACTTGTTGGTTGTTTCGCTTAGGAGTCTTTTGTTTGCCCCTGCATTAGCTCTTGATTTAGTTTGTTTCAGTTTTTCGATTTCATTTATTCTTTTGGTTAGGTTTTGTATCTGGAGTTGTGTCATTTCTGTTAGGGTCTCGTTGGAGGAGGTCAGCCTTGACATTGCCTTGTCACGTCTGTGTGTGAGGCGCCTTACTTCCGAGTTGAGTTTACCTGCTTTTATTTTTGTGATTTTTCTGGCTAGGTGCATCACAGCTGATATGAAGTCTTGGAAGGTGTTCTGGGTGTTGTTGTTCCTGGCTATTTCGTCTAGGGCCTCATTGCTGATAGTTTCGACTTCATGTAGGAAGTTTTGGTCTTTGGTCAGGTAAAGGGGAATGGCCCATCTTGTCATATCCGTGCATACCCGACCCCAACCCAACTTCCCAACCTCCACCCTCTTCACCTCCGGAGTCATAACCTACCACTGCCGTTCCGATACTCACCTTCGGTCCTGGCAACACACCTCCTTCCACCCCCCCATGCCACCTCTACTCCTCCTTACCTCTCCGACCTTATCTCCATCCGCTCCAATACTCACCTCGGACCGAACACTGCCCCTCTCGCCACCCTCCTACTACTCCTCCTCCTCCTACTCCACTCCCCCTTCACAACACCTCCACCCTCCCGTCACCCTCCTACGCTTCCCCCATCCACTCCGATACTCACCTTTGGACCTGACAACTCTCCTTTCCGCCACTCCTTCTTCCTTACCTTTCCCCTCTCTCCTTCCTCTGTTACTCCTCCACCACCCTTCCACCAAGTTACGACCTTCCACCGCTGTCCCGTACTTCGTACTCGGACACCGCTTGTACCTTTGCTCTGAGCCTCCGTCATAGTCCCTACCTCGGACTTTGACTCCACCTCGGTCTTAGTCCATTGCATTGGTGACCTCATACTACGTAAACACCATTGCCAATATCCCTCGGACTTTCAACCCCACCTCCATAAGCTCCGTAAACTCCGCAACCCCTGAGCTTTGTGGATCGCCTTCAGCACTTTCGCCGCTTGTAATGTATCTCTCGCGTTTACCCCTCATCCCTATTTGGACTACTGCTTCTTCCCATTCTAGCCAGTTAGTCATCATCCCCACTTCTCCTCATCCTCCTGCCCCTCTGGGCCTCACCCTCCCTACCTCCTTTTGGATGTATCACAGGTCCTGCCTTATGACCTTCAGTACCGCTCCGCTTCTTCTACCCTTTGTTCCCGTTCAGACGTCTTCGTTCCAATTCGGCTTCCCTTTGTTTCCTTGTGCTCTTGCCCCCTCCATTATATATATCGGCGCTTGTACATACTCATTTTGGTTCAGTCCAAAATCGACCTGAAATGCCCCCTAGAGACTTCCTGCTCACCTACTGTGAAATTAAGGACCAAATGGACAAACAGCAATGGCACAGCGCTCCACTTGAGTCGCTGAGGCCAAGGTCCCTCCATGCTAAGTCTCCGATTCCACTCCGGAGTCGTCTGTATCAGCCCCGTTCTAACACATCTTCCTTTCCCGATTGTGGTAGCGCAGTTGTCTCTGAGTTCCACTGAGATGAGTTGGTGGTCGGCAGTGGATAGGCCCGGGCTGGATATTTCCCATGTGTAGGCTTTTTCTCTGATAGTGTCAGATGCGTATATTTGGTCAATTCTGGAGAGGGATGTCCCTGTGGAGTGGCCGAAGGTGAAGTTTTTTTCGGGGGCTGGGTGTGAGTCCCTCCAGCTGTCTGTTAGGTTGTTTGGGGATGTGAAGTTGTGGAAGGATGCTACTGTTGTTTCCGGGTCTGGGTGTGGCGGAAGTCTGTTGATTGCTTCTTCTACCATGTTGAAGTCCCCAAGCATAATGTCGATGGAGGTGCTGTGAAGGTTCTGTTGGAGTGTCCTCCAGAACTGGGAGTTCTCGTGGTGGGGGTTAGGATTTTGATAGGGGAGTTGGGTGGCCAGTCTATTTCTATGAGGAGGGTGCGGCCGGGTATAATGTTTATGTTTTTATTAATTATGATAGCAACACCACCTGCGCGGGTGTGATCTGGGTTAAAGGAGTGGGTGATTGTCCACTCTGGGTCATAGGTACTGTCTAAGTATTCTTGTTGTATTTGGTCGGTGTGGGTTTCGGAGAGACACATGATGCCAAATCTTTCTTGTTTCATTTTTTGTAGGAGGGTAGTCCATTTGTATTTGGTGGAGGAGCTATTTGCGCCCTTGATGTTGAGGGCGCCTATTTTTAGGCTGGGGGGGCCATTTTGGGGGGAGGGGTTGCCTCCTCTTAGGCAGAGGGGACAGTGGGTTGGGGCCATTTTCAGTTCCTCTGCCTCTGTCCTTGGACATTTGGAAAACGGTTGAAGCCGGCAGTCCTCTAGAGGCAGAGGGAGGAGGCCATTTACCGGTTGAGTTCATTTCAGGGCCTGATTGGGGGTCCTGTGTTGGTTGTTTGTGTTAACTTTTTCGCTGGCATTTGTTTGTACACCCCCTCCTGGTTGCCAGCCATGGAGGGGGCAGGGAGAGAAGAGGGGGTTGGGGTGGGCTGGTGTGCTTTCCTGTCACCTTGCGGTCCAGTAAATTTGGGCATCCTTAGCCAAGGCTGCTTGCCTGTGTTTAGTTTTTATTTCAGTTCACTCATGAGTTAAATGTTTCAGGCAGTGTATTTTACATGAAGCTAGAAGGGATTGGGTAGCTTACATAGCTTTACTTTTTAGTGGTCATTTTAGGTGTAGTGCCAGCCACGTCCTCGATAGCGTCCTGGGTTTCTGCCGCGTCCCCAATTTGCCAGGTGGGGCCGGGACAGATCAACAGAGTTTGGTGTAGGGGGATTTTCTGGGCTCGGGTTGAGTTCACGCCAGATATAGTGCTCATAGATTGGGCAAACAGCAAATGTGTGGTCCAACCCTTTGCAAGTATGGCAGTATATGTGGGAGCTGCTGGCGGACCCGTTGTTACTTGTAGGGGTGGAGAATGTGGTTTCTCTGAATAGTCGGACCCATTGGTCATAGCTGGTGTTCAGGACACCGGGGGTGGGGTCGGGAACTTCGAAGAATGGGGGGGGAAGGTGGATTTCCCAAAGCGTTACATTGGCATCAGAGGTTGGGTTTCTTCGTTCAGACGGGTTGAGGCGGTTCCCATGGTTGGATGCAGCATACCCACGGGGGATAACAGTGCAGCTGGTAGCTATGCGGTTTATGTCATCAACATGTAGGTTCGCTCTTTCTAGGAAGGTTCTGAATGTGGATCTTTGGTCAAGGATTCTCTGAGTGATCGCGTTTTCTATGTCACCAGTTTCGTTTAAGTTGGCTCCCAAGCCACGCAGGGATATAACATAGTTAGTGGGCCGGTAGTTGGCGAAGTCGATTGCTATGAAACATACCGCACGGCTCATCCATAGGTGGCCAGCGATAAGGGTGTTGATGTGTGAGGGGTGGAGGCCCTCAACAAGGAAGCCCCAAGGGGTTCCTGTCTGGTCGTGTGATCGGGCGGTTGGGGGACGGATGATTATATTCAGGCTTGATTGGGGAAAGGCCCTTTTGAGGAAAGTGGCCAGGTTATTCCTAAATTTTTTGTCGCCCTCTGTGCTGTGTTTGGCGTCAAGCGGGTATGTTAAGACAGTTCTTGGAATGGTCTTCCACTGTTCATGGCGGTCTTCACTGAGGTTTGCAAGGATTCTTGCCGGCCGTGCACCGTGGGCGCGGAAGTCAGCGAGTTCGCCATCAAGGTCGGTGTAGTTGAAGATTTCGTTGCCGTCATGTGGGCGCTGAGCAGCTGCAGTTACTGGGTCAGGGGCATCTGCTACGGCTGGGGGGCGGGTGATACGTGGCGGGTTTGGGGGGGGGAGTTGCAGGGCTCGTGGAGGTAGGGACTGTCGCGCGGTTTGTGGTGTTATTTGTCCTCCCTTCGCTCTCGGGGGAGGGGGCGCGAGTTCAGGACCTTGGATGTTGGCCGAGTCTGGGGATCTGTGGCGTTTGGCCACCTCCAGAATGGAGGTGATAGATGGGAGTGTGGTGGTGGGAGACGCGAGTGTGGTTAAGTCCTTTTCGATGTTGTTAGGAGTGCTTTGTTGGTGCGTCCCCATAAGGTCATCTATCATGGTGTCATCCGCCCCAATGGAGCTGAGGGGAGACAGCGAGCGTTGATGGTCGTTAAGGTTGTTACGTTTACTTTGCATGTTTGTGACTTGGGGAACCACTGTTGAGAGAAGTTTTGTGTATGTTACGGCTTTATTTAGTAGGAGTTTGCGGGGAGACACACCGTTGTGGCGTTCTACCGCTAGTATGATTTTTCTGTGGGACGAGAGGTACTGGTGTATTTGTACTTCGTGGCACCGCCAACCTAATCCTTGCGGGATTACCCGGGCACCGGGGAACTGCATAGTGGTTAGCGTTCCGACCGGGTGTACCCAACTCCTAGCCCCTTCCGGATGGGGACCTGACAGTGTACTGGGGCGTATTTTGGTTGCCCTGTCGAGGTCAAGGGGTCTTTGCCAGCGTCACGTCCGGTTTTCTAGTGGTTCCCTTTAGTCATTCATATTTTTGTTTTCCGAGTTGTATTTGTTGTTCTTAGTTGTTTTTCTCTCCCTAGTTTAACGACGTCGCGGTCGCTCAAGACCTTTTCAGTGCTGTTTAGGGCGCTAGTCATGGAGATCGAGGCTAAGTGGGCTCAAGAGGGATCGGGCGGCAAATTCGGCAAATGCCTAAGTGTACTGCCACTGCCAATGTGTACCAGTCGTTAGAGCGAAGTGTCGCGCGCAAATTTTCGGAGTAGGTGATCGGACTTGAGTTTATCCCCGTAGCATGTGACTCTTTGTATTGAAAGCAGAACGTGACTTTACATTGAATACAAAAGTTACTTAGTTACATTTCCACATTGCAGTGCGCTGCGCGCGTCCACGGAGCGAAAACGACTGGGTACGAGTCTGGTTTTCGACAATACCGAGCGAGATCCTCCACTCAATGAGTGTACCTCAAGAAGAACAGAATGAGGGGAGCACCACCAATACCGCCAAAGGGATTCAGAAAACTCCCATTCGTGGTGGATCAAGGCCCAGCTCGAGCTCGGTCAGTCAATCTCGTTTGCTGACTGGAACTTTGAAATCCTATCGGTGTGACATCCCTCTTTCGTTTTGCCTCTCTGGTGATAACACGACGTCAGGGCGGAAGAAATGGAAGAGCCCATCCGTGTCGACTTGGAGAGTGCCCAGAAATGCAAGGCGGTTGACATGATCGACTTTTTGCTCGCGTTCTGCCTGTCGGGAAAGGGCAAATCTATCCCCGTTCGTGATGAGCGGGTGCTGTTATCTGCCTTTGAGAAGGTGAAGGAAGTAGCAAATCAGGAAGGGACCACCCTGAGGACTGAGCTCTCTAAGTTGTAAGTACGGCCATGACTCCCTAGGCGCGGGACTAACTCACTGTAAGCCTCAAAGCCGGGACAGAGGCAGAAATGTACGATCCATTTGTAATCGCCTCTAACTATGCCCTAGATCAACTTTCGAAAGTCGATATCCAAGGGTTGCCTCAGTACTCTGCCGACAAACAGATCGTCTTCGTTTGTAACCACAACCACACGGTGAAGTCCCTCGATCTTAACCGGGATTGCCGGACTAGACCAGATATCGTCCTACTTCAATGGGAATCCTTTAGAAACCTAGCCTGCAATGCTTCCGATACGTACTCCTGCACTTACGGGACGCAGATGTGTACCGCAGGCTCCAAAAACCTGGAGCTGGCATGGAAAAAAGTCCGATCAACGGTAGAAGTGAAATTTGACAGATTACCGAAGCAAGTTAGCCCGATGAGGTCATTCAACAACAACTTTAAAGACCTCAAGGAATCAGAGTTGTGTTCCTCGTTCGATAATGACGTCTCATCTACTGGGTTTATCCGACATGTGCAACCTGAGCTCAAATGCGAGTGCGCGCCTCTCAAAAGCGATCTGTTACTTATTTTCCTGGGCAGATGGCTCCAGGGGATCGGATAGGGTGGCCGCGAGGAAGGGCCCAGTCACGTCGGAACATATCTCAGAATGGGCGTACTCTCGCATGAAGCGCAAGACAGAAGCGCTCAATGACCACAATACGACCAAACGATCCAAGACTGGGGGGGATGCTGCAGGAAGTTCCGAACGTCCGGCGGTTCCGCAGAAGCATCCAGTCCACATTCAGAATGGGATCTACGCTGCAGAGAGGCTCTCCTGCTCCCTTGACATCACTCACGCTATCAACTTCATTTTACAAGGCGAGATTCAGCCCCGTAAATCCCGTCAAGTGTAACTCAGGCTATAATGTTTCAGGGAGCAAAATATACATTACATGGTCGGATAGGCAGAGTGTTATTCGAACGGGGGGCTTCGACATCACCAATGACCTGCCTCACTTCCTTCTGGTCCTACTCATTATGCAAAGGTTCGATCTGGCCCGCTGGGGTTTTTTCACTGCGTTCGAGGGGTCGAGTATCTACCCCGAACGAGGGCCCAAGGATTCAGTCTTTTTCAAAGCCACCTTCATCCAGGATGCTACGATTCATATCTTTCCTGATGATGATCTTATCTATGGTGGGGTTAATCTGACGGGCCGTTCGACCGTTGTAGCTGGGGCCAGGAAGGCTGACGGTTCGAATCCGAATACTTCTGTGGATATTCGAGAAGCCAACAACTTGGTCACCAAGGCTTCCTGGCCAGAGGAATCGCGGGCTAGTGAGGTGAAGATCATCGAGCGGGCGATGCAAATTGGTAAAACCAACAGCCTAGTGGAGGATCACATCCCCACGATGCATGGCAACATAGACCCTCCGTATGTAACATGTTCGACGAGGTTCATCCGGGAGTTTCTGAAGCTAGACACGACTGGGGCGCGACTGCTTCGCCTCATCATTCTCGACCGTTTGGGGGAGCTCAAGCATCTAGATGAGGAAGACGTGCTAATCGCATATTTGGACTGTTTCTTCTGTATGTTGTGTTTCCATTTTTTTGTGCTGTCCCTCGGCATTCAATCGCGGCAGGTCATTGGGGATTGTGGGAAGGGAACCTTTGCCATGGAGATATCAGCACAGGGAACCTGATGTACAAGCCAGGTACGAACCGCGGAGTTCTTATCGACTTCGACCTTGGTCTATTGGACAAACAGAAGGGACCGAGTGGGAAGGACAACACTGGAACTATGCCGTTCATGGCCCTGGATCTCCTCAGTGTAGAAGCACTCAAGGGCTCGGTTCCACGTCTGTACCGACACGATTCGGAGTCTTTTGCCTGGTGTCTCATTTACATTTGCATCTGCATGGATAGAGGAGATGATGGCAAAATTCTCACCATCAGTCCTCATCCTTTGTCATCATGGTTCAAGGACCCAGGTAACTGTCTTGCTTCGAAGACTGCAATAGAAACCGCAACCCTTCTTGTGAGGGCTCCCCTTCACCAACGGTACACAGATTTTGCTGCAGAGTTACACGATTACTGGGTTCAGCGGTTCAATCGCCAAACACGGTTCAATCGCCAAATGGCTAAGAAATCAGTCCTGTTTGATCATGATCCATTCAAGGAGGATTTATCTGAAGACGTCCCGGAAGTTTTGCTGGCCAAGGATAGCAAAGCCACTCCGGAAGAGTACAAAGAACCCTCGGATTTGGAGTCATTCAGGGATGTCTGTCTGCTAATCCCTCCACACCGCCATGTCATTCCGAAGTCCAAGGGAAAGATATTTGCTGGAATAATGGGACTCGTGGCTAATCGGTACCTGAACTAGCTCTATTTATATGTAATAATATTCAATGCCCATCGTTGCCGGGATTGTCCCATTTGATGGGAACTCGTGTGGCCATGTGATGTTACTTTGCTTGCAAGGTCACTTTCCAATGTCTCCTCATTCACGCTCTTCAATCTTTCATCTTCAACCTCCAATATTTCACATGTTAGTTGTCTGGACAGCTTCTCATCAAACACTCGCAAAAGTCAGGTATCACAGCCTGAGCTCCGCGATAATGCCATGCAAGTGTTGAATGGTGTCAGTCCTCCTGTTGGGAGAAAATGAAGACTCGTTACTTTGTAACTCCCGTCAACGCTGATGATGAAGAGCAAGATCAACAAGGTATCTTAAGGAAAACAGAGGGAGCGGAATCTATAGGAGTTGAGTACTGAGATGCTCATCAAGAATGAGATGAAGGTGTTTACCTCCTTATATCTAACCTGTATCTAACGTCCATTGAAAAAGAGGAAATAAAAATCACTACTCCAATGGGACCTGCTGGCAACCACTAGTGCCTTGTGTCAGGATAGGACGTTCCTTGGATAGGTCTGATCACTATCCAGGCCATGCTGTCGGGTGGAGCTTGGTGTTCCAGGTCATCCGATGGTGGGTTGGAGACAGACTGGAGGTGGGGCGGAGCTCTGAGGGTGATGGGGTGTTGAAGGGACTCGGCTTCAGTGACTCGGAATGGAGCGCTGCACCTGGTACATTCTTGTTGTCCCCAATTTGTCAGGGGAGCTGGCAACGGAGGAACCGAGGCTGCCAGCAGAAGGGGCTTCCATTCCAGCCCCCCCTCACTACTTAACAGTGGAGGCATTAGCAAGGGTCAATCATTTGTCATGCAATTCTTTTGGGTGTTATACCAAGGCATCTCTAGGAGCGCTGTAATGGGTCTATCACCACTAGACTGGAGACAGAAGAGAGGGGGAGTTGGTTGGGTTATAGGATGCTTTTTGGACTGGGATGCTCATTGGATGCTTGACCTTGGGGGTCAGACTTTGGAGGTGCTGATGTTGATTGGAGGTCTTACACAGCAAAGTGCTGACACTGTCAGCCCAGGTCTGACTGCAACCAACCACCCACTATTATAGGTTAAAAACACCCACTGGTTTGGGTTGGGGGGGACCCTCGGGGCCCTCTCACAATCCCCCCTATCGTACACAACTTTGAACTATTGAAATGACAGAAGCCAAACCAAACAACATGTATCATTGGATTTCACCATATGTTTGATTTGCAATCATTTGAGTGACATGGTATCTCAATCACACATCAAAAGACAACATGATAATAATTGCGTGCAAGATTTGATCATGGGTCAATGTACGATGAGTTATATGTAAAGGTGTTGATATACTTGAGGGTTGTTGTATTATTGAGTGCGCATGAAAAGACGACATGATAATTTTCTGCCAAATTTGATGATGGGTCAATATACAGTTGTTATATAACGGTGTTGGTATGGTTGTATTCCCAAGCGTGCATGAAAAGACGACATGATAATTTTCTGCAAGATTTGATGATGGGTCAATATACATTGTTATATACCGGTGTTGGTATATTTGAGGGGATGTTGTATTCCCAAGCATGTGTGAAAAGACAACATGATAATAAATAATTTTCTGCAAGATTTGATGATGGGTCAATATACAATGTTATATCATGGTGTTGGTATATTTAAGGGATGTTGTATTCCCAAGCGCGCATGAAAAGATGATATTATTTCCTACAGAACCCGGCAACGTTTCCTAGGACGAGCACTCAGCCCAGGATTCTCTGCTTCATCTTCTGATGACTCAGAATCAGCACGGAGGGATGCCTCTGAAGCTTTGTGTGCCAAAGAAGTGGAGGGCACTCGCTCCTTCATGGGTGGTACTTGGAAAGACTCCACAATGTGAAGGGAACGGCACTCATCACCCAAGAAATATCGCACTGCACAGAACACAGGGCACATGTGTGGAGGTTGGGCTAGGTGCTTGGAAATGGTCGCAAGCCTAGACTCCAATACCTCCTTTGGATGGCGCCTCCAGTCTATCTGATAGCGACTTCCAGGCTTGAATGCATTAGGTTTGCAGGCCTCTACCAGGTGGAGTCGGGCAAGGACAGCAATGGTGACCCCTTTCCTCTCTATAATAATAATAATATTATCATCATAATTGCGATACAGATAGCTTCAGGAAGCACTCACGGAGCTTGGTGTTGAATGTGGTCATCATCTCCGCATTTTTTCCTTGCTCAGCAGTACGGGAGGCCAGTTTGATGGACTGAGTTTGGGCCTTCTGTTCGTGTCTCCGCCACCAAGGACTGTCCTCCACCAAAATACCGCAAATGTATATCAACCAGAGGTGGAAGAGTGGTGGCTTTGCTTTCCACCCTGATTGAGTCTTCCCATATTCACGGTCCCATACAAGGCTGTTGGCATATTCAACCATGTTTGCACCCTTTGCCCGTTCCACTGGAATCTTCTCTTCATTGTGTTTGACCTGATGGAAGGGAGCCCATGCAGTGAGGATGAACACAGCAATGAGGCTGATGTGGAATCTTGCATCTGACATATCAAAGCTCTCAGTGACCCATGTAAGGTCACCAAGCCTTGCATCAATCCAGTGCCATGATGCCTGTGGGTTTCCCTCTGTAATCTGGGTGCTGGAAATGGAGGCTGCAAGGCGATCTGGATCAGACATGGTTCCCAGATCAGGTCGTCTTGCATTCCTGCTGGGGTATATCAAGTCCACCCATGAATCATACTGTGCCCATTGACTCGACCTCCCTGTGGGAAACATGGTGGAATGTGGATATCGATACATCCATCTTGAATCCATCTGAAAGACAACAGCCTCAATGCAGAACTCCTGTTGCCCTTGTGAGGATGATGTGTGTGGGCAAAGGTCTCACAATGCCTGGAAGACTTGAGTGCAGACTTCCGCAGCAGACCCTTGTCGAAAGAAGGGTGCTCCAAGGCCCTTCCTTGTTGATGATGATTTTTGAACAAGGTCAGGCAGTGTGACCATTGCATACAAGCCACGGACCCATTCATAGACATCAATGTGGGGCAGGTTCTTCAAAATTGAGTGTATGGCTTGAGAGGAGGTGGCAAGTGTGAGGATCTGGCACTCTGTGGCCACTTTAGAATTGTCAAAGGGGTGTGCCCTGGACAAGAGTTCCTTGAGTGCATCAGCTTGGATATTGAGGCAACGTCGGTCATCTCGGTCTGCAGTTGCATAGCTTGCATTCAGGGATTTCTTGATTCCCTTCTCAATTTCATAGAGGGCATCTGTCTCAAGTGTTTCAACCACATAACTGGCCAGTGACTGAAGGATTTTCTCCTCCCTTGGGAGGGAGGTGGGGAGATGTTCGGTGGTGTGAAGACCAAGGCGGATATGCTCAATGAAGCAGGTGGCTTTCATATGCTGTGAGTGAAAGTGAAGGGGTGGGTCAGTACTCGGCAATGGAAATTCATGCATGATTGAAAAAGTGGGTTATTATCGTAGTTCCATTCGCGCATGGAATGACAACAACTTCTCTGTGGTGAATTTTTAGAAAAGCAGTTGTACTTCCATGCGAGCACAGAACTACGACAATAATTTCCCTACAGAGACTTAAGAGAAAGGTTGTACTCCCATGTGAGCACAGAACTACGACATTAATTTCCTCCAGAGACTTAAGAGAAAGGTCGTACTCCCATGCACACACAGAAGAACGACTATCCCAAGGATTAAACAAATAAACACTCACATCATATGTGGCCTGAGAGTAGTTGTACAGAACAACACGCTTTGATGCGAAGCGTGGGACTCCAGCAGCATCTTTCGGCCATCTGGATGCATTGACATCAATCTTTTCCATTCGTTCAAGGTGGATCCCCACCATGTCACTCAGACATGGGAATCCAGTTTCCTTGATTCCGACAGAAAGCAAAAGAGGGTCCATCACATATGTGGACAGCACCCTTCCTGCACCACAGAACCCAAAGCTACCAGCTCGTTCCAGTGCTGAAAGCAGCTCTCGCAGCAGCAAGTTTGCTGGACATCCCTCTCTCTTGCATCGGACTTCAGATTGGTAGATGTGATCTATGGCCCAGAAGAGAGGGTATGTGGTCCAAAGATATGTCCGCTGAAGGACCTAAATCATCCCCATTCCCACCATATTAGACACGTCAAAGATGATCATGACCAACACATACCTCAGGTTTGAAGATGACCAAATTGTGCCTGAGTTTGTCTACCAATTCTGGATCAACCCATGTGTCCACAAGGGGGGTGAGAATCTTCTCGAAAACAGCTCTGGAGATCAACCATCAATACAAAGTACAAAACTTCCAATATATCATTCTGACCTTCCAGTCCGTTTCTCCTGTGCAATTCCAGAAAAGTTGATGGTCCAATAATTCTCCAGTCGGAGATCAGTTGGTGGTCGCAAGTCAGGATCATTGGATGTGAGTTTGTGCTTCATTCGGTCAAATGGCATCCCCCGCTCCACATAGGAGGACATCTCTTCAGCCTTTGTGCGTTCTGTCGGTTGGGCATATTGTCCAGCAAGAGCAGCAGTTATGGCTCCATGCATGGTTTCAGCTGCTCCTGACCTCCGTGCAATCCGATGTTGCAACTCATTGTATCCCTGGAAAAACACACCCTTTAGGGGCTCCACAGCATGCTGATGAAGGAGGTCCTCAACCTCCTGGGTGTCAAGTTCGTCACCACCAAGCAGTTGGTCATCATCAGATTCTCGGTTTGAGGGTGCATAGTCACTATCGTTATTGTCATCATCACTGTCTTCTCCAATGGGGTCGTGGCTTTGTCTTTGCCTTGTTTGAGAAAGCAATTCGCTGTTGATTCCCTGTGCAGCCCTGTGGAATTCAGGGAGGATGGTGTTTGCTTGCACATGCCCAAAGTGTGTCATGAATGCTTGTGGGTAGACAGAGATGGACACATTTCCAGTCCGGTCACCATAATGGAAGTGGTCGAACATCGTTGGGGCATTGTGCAACTGGAAGAGAGGGCCCCCTGGTGCAGCTGTTGCACTGAAAAATTGGACTCTATGTTCAATCCTATTTTTCTCTGAGTCATAGATGTTAACGTCATTTCCATCTATGTCCTGGTATGGCAGATTGGTGAGATCAGTGATTGGTTCATTATTTTCATCATAAACCTCGTCATGCTCTTCTAGGATAGTTGCAGGGTCCACGTTGACTGTCTTAGGAACAGCAATGGCACTAAGCCCCAAAACAAAATCAATGCACACACTTGTGAGCCATCATACATTTGATGACTTACTGCAAGTGGGTGGCAATGGCAAAGCTCCAACGTGATATGTGCTCGAAAGAATAGTTTTGGCCAAAGGTAGTGATGGTTTGCTCCAAGTTGACATCACTTGTGTCAAGCAGTAGGTCTTGACCATATTTCATCGAGACAATCAATGGTATGGATTCCTTGAACCAAGGATCGTGATGCCATGTCTCAGGTGCATTCTCGAAGAAGTGTGATTCATATCGTTGAACCATCGTGTCATGCATAGACTGGACACTGGAGAGATTTAACATCGCTTTTGATGATTGCTGTGAGCTAGTGAAAATGCATCGACATATGAGCAAAGAGACATTGAATGCTCTGAGGCTTGCTTGACTTACACCCAATCTGTGATGGCCTTGTATTGGTCAAGCCTCCCGGACAAATCTATGTAGTAGTTGTCATGTGTGGAGTAGCTCCTGTTGGGGATATGGCCCATTGCCCAGAGAATTATGCAAGTGGCCATACGGACATGTGCGGGAGTCATCTGGGTGCACTCGGATTGGGTACCCAGTGCAATTGGATCGTTATCATTATCTAGGAATGAGCGAGGTGCCATGGCAAGAAAGATGTTGTCATGATCCTGTGTACCGATGAAGAGCATCCTGCCTGTGGGGTCAAAGCCAAGGTCACCCCTGTGGTTGAGAAATGGACGGGAAGATCCCAACAAGTTGAGGTGGAAGCACCAGGTGGTATTCACATTAATGGAAGGGGGAGGAAGGATCACATCAAAACCGATGCGATCCGGGACTTTGAGGGAGAAGTCGATGTGGTGCCCTGCAGTGCAGTAGGCAAAGTGTTGGGTGACACTGTCTTCATAAAAACTGTGATTGACATTGAGCCTGTACTTTGTCCTGAGAAGGCGGAAGGCCCTTCCACCATCCTTGCGGTTGTAGAGTCCTTGCAGCTGGCTGAGGTTCAGCAATTGTTCAGGCCGTTGATGGTATCGGTCTCGTTCGGGGATCCTAGAGGTGGTATTCATCCCTATCATTGCACCTGCGATCAGGCCCTGATTGACTGATCCATATGCCTCCTCAGCCTGTGGATTATCTAGGTCAAAAGCAGGAATGGTTGCTTCCACTGGGACGGATTCGCAGACATCATCAAGCCCAGCCATAATTTATGTTGGATTAATATGATGGACAACGTGGGTTCAAGCGGGATGAAGCAGGATGCAGAAAAACCAGGCTGGGGACATTGAATGGATTCTGTATTTCAAATAGGGGACAATTGGCACACTGCTTTCCGCTGGTTGATTGTGTCACCCTTGGACATGCTGGTAGTTGGTTACTCTGCACAGAGTCATACACCTGTGGCAATATTACGCTTTTTTCAATGCTGAAAATTTGTCATCTCTTTAATTTTTCTTACATTTCAAGGTGTCAATGTAGTACCATCATATCTGAAGGCCACCATGTATGACCTTCACTCGCTGCCATGCCATCCAATTTTTCCCTGTATTGTGTTGTTACAAGAAAGATGATTGAATTCCATTGACCCTTGCAACATAACAACGTAGTTATTTGATGATAACAGAACAAGCGGGCAGTGCAGGGTCTGGCAAAGTGCAAGCACTCTAGTGGGTAACAGGATAACATAATACATCACAACAAACTAGAGTGAATCATTGTGATCCCACCAAGCTGTTTATCGTTTTTTCATTCGCGCAAAAAAGTACGACATTATTATTCCACAGTTTGCAACCCGGGAATGATCCACAAGTTGGATCAAGTGGACATCGCAATAACGATTGGTCACTAAGATGTTATTCCCAATGATTATGTCACTTTGCCCTTATCGTCATTCTGAGTGTGCAAAAAAGTACAACATCACCATCAAATCATAATAACAATATTATGGACCAACCAATCTCTTAGTTGTCTGTGGGCCATTCATCATTTTTACGTGCATGCAAAAGGTATAGTAATGGTGTCAATCCGACACACAAATAAATACAAATTAGTATCATATGACCCATCTGACTAATGAATATTCTTAATCTGATTGGCTCAGGTATTCCCAATTGCGGTCTCTTGTGAGATAATAATTGGCACTGCCTTTTGCTGCTTCACCCTCAACTGATCTTGCGATCAACGGAGCCATGGCATCTACTTCGTCTGCAAAACCAACCATTGACAATCTCAGGGGGTTGCAGTTCAACCTCACCATCTCTGATGAGTGGTTTTCACTCACAACAGATGCCAAGATTGTGGCATGTGTGGAAATTCGAGATCGTGCTCTGATCGGAATAGGTGAACTTGATGTCTATGATCCTGAAACCCCCTGTCTACGCCTTGGGGGTAGGAACGCTCGGCCTATTCACACCCCATCTGCAAAGCGGATAGGCCTGGATGTGTATCAACACTCAGGTCCTCGCTGTCTCATGACTGAGATGGCTCTCAACCTTGTCATTCGCCCTTCATGGGTTGCAAACGAAATTTGGCCTCGCCAGATCACCCATTCTAATTACGAATCACTCCCACACATCAAGTTCAATGACCTTGGTGAGAAGGCTGCCAATGCAGGCCAAGTCCATGTGATCAATGGACAACACAGGTCAGTACCGCAATTTTAATAATAATTATTTAGTATCATCATGAGTGACATATGGTCTCTTATTTGTCTAGAATTCAAGGATTGCGCTATGCATATGGCATGGCAAAAGCTGAATTAGAGCGCCTTCGTGAAATAATCGAGGCACAGGAGGAAGGGAAACAATCAGATGAGGACAAGGCTGCCTATGATTCCGAACTGGAAAAGTTGGAAAAGTTGAAGACATGGCCTTGCAACATCTGGAATTTAGGTGAGCCAACGTTCTCCATCCACATTTCCGTCAAGGCCAACACTGACACCTTACTTCCTTGAAAATAGATGTTATCGAGGGAGATGGCAAGGGTACCTTGCTCATCGATTTACTCTCCCAGAACAAGGACACCGTCGAGGTTGCAACAATGGAGGAGGATCAGTTGGCACCGATTTATCAACAACTTTTGGGGTTAGAGATGAAAGAAGGGTGGCGTCCACGCTTATGGCGTGCAACCCCCTTGCCCAGTGACATCGGAATGTCACATCACCGAAAACCTACTGAACTCATGTTACAGATCCACGCAAACAAGGCAAAGGTTAACAGGATCTCAAGGGATCCCCGAACAACCCGTGGAATGATGGAGATGACCAGGATGGGCAAGTATTACCACGACTGGAGTGGTTTCAACATCAACCACCTGTCACTCAACACAATCAAGGCAACATCTTCCGTGAGTATATTACTTCACCTCTATCTCACACTGATCAATGTCCGTGCAGTACCTGTGGACATATATCCAGGCCCAGAATGAACTTCTGGGCCTTATCTTTTCGCCATCCGAATTGAATTCCCATATGAGGAGTTTTTCACTTTGATAGTGAAACTTGGCCGAGCGAAGACTGCTACCAGCCGGGACGGGCTCATGGCAAGGGCTGATGAACTCATAGCAGAATTCAAAGCGATGTTCATCGATCAGCAAGAAGCACTGCCTGACCTTGAACACTTCTACACGATGGAGTTTTGGACATTGGTTGAAAAGGTGGAACTCGAAGCTGGGCTTGTCACACTTGGTAAAGGGAAGAAGAAGCGGGAAAAGGTATATCCCGACGATGTCTTTCAGGTCTTTACCCTGATACAGAAGGAGCGCTACATGACATATGTGGCCAAAATTCGTGAAGCGATTCAGCATGTCATCTCTCGTGTTGAGGCACTGTTGGTGCCTCACGTCAAGATCTCTGCCCTCAAACGATTTGACCTCCTTTTCTCTGGACATCTCCATGACATCCATCCCATCCTCATGACCACTGGACTCATCTCAAAATTTGAGGACTTGAGTGAAGAGTACAGTGATTGCTTTCGTGAGGTATGTGAATCCTCTTGTTCCCTGAACCCCCATTCCACCCTCTGGTGTCGTATTTCTGTGCGCGCACATGGAAATGACAAGACAAACTTGTAATCATTATTTGGGCATGCAACGTTCCTCCCAACTGTCGTATTCTCATGCGCGCACATGGAAACGATATGATGTCCCATCTGTCGTATTCTCGTGTGCGCACTGAGAAACAACATGAGCTTCTTGCGCATGTGTTTGATGTTGATGATTTGATGATTTTAATTATGCCCATTTCAGATTCATGCATGGGTCGACCCCATTTCAACTTACCTTCTTGAATGGCCCAAGGACTATCCCGCTGATCGCTCATACCTGCTCTTTGACTCATTCTCCCAAGACAAGCACCTCAAACGTCATTGGAATGTTGAACTTTTTGTAAGTCACATTTTCTCCTTCCATCATCCCACCCACTCATCATCAAATATTTTTCAGTTCACTTTCGATGTCATGTCTGACCTTGTGCCACATTTTGCCAACTGGATGATTGAAATGGAGACCGATCCAAAATTCATCCATATTCCACAACGTGAGACTACAAAGCTGCCAAGGGGCTTCTTCGAAAAGGTTGGCATTTATGCTGAAGCCAAAGGGAAAGGGAAAGCCAAGGCCTTGGAAGCGAACCCACCCTATCCTCCTCGTCCCTCCAATCACAACAATGGAATCTTTGCATCAGGTCCCCTTGCACTCACTTGGGAACTTGAATGTGATAACTTTAAACTTTGCCACAATGTTTTTCACACCTGGAACTCGGCAACTGAGATTTCCTTATGCCGGGAATCTCGGAGTTCAAAGCAAAATGTCCATCATGCCATGTCTGTGTACCCTCTCATCTCTATCAGCGAGGGCACAGGGAGCAATGTGAATCGTTTATCCTCCAAGTGGAAGATCGCAATGTTGCTCTACATGATCCACGATGCTCGGTGCCGTAAACCTTTGATCCAGACAAAAGGGATAACGGCATTGCTTTACACCACCCTCGCTGACAGGATCAGCAACTTTGGGATTGATCCTCAAAGGTTTGACTTTGTCACCGGTCACGCGAAGGCTGCGAGGAGTCAGGGGTCAAAATACCTGGAAAACCCTTCTGCATTTGTTCGAAACCTTCAGGGTCTCCCAGAAGAATCTGAGGATGAACCAGATGAAAGTGACACTCCCCTCTCCCACTACAAGCTGGCAAGAAAACAACACCAGGCCAGTATCCTTTCCATGCACAAAGCATTCCAGAACTTGCCATGGATTCACTACCGCAACAATATTACAAATGACATTGACGATGACCTCATTGAGGCATGGAATGACTTCGAAAGTGTAAGTTAATTGATTGATTATTATTATATCCCTCCCTTACTCAACATATTCTCTAGGCCCTTCATCGATTCAGCATCGTCCATGCGGTGAATTCCGTCCTTAGTGATGAACAGAAATTTGGGGATCGGCAGAAGGTGACCATCTACGATGAGGATCTTTCATCTGGACAATGGATCCCTTCATCTGGCCGGTCGCTCAGGCCTTGCTTTTACAAGGGCTCAGCAGTACGTTGGAATGCTCAATATTTTTACGCAAGCATTTATTTTCCATATATTATTATTATTTAGACCCAAGCAGACAAGGCAAGGCCCCCCCCAGCCTTCTTGAAGGGCCACAGAGACTTTGCCTATATCTTTGATGTAAGCATGGCAATCATCATTCGTCATTAAGTCATTCTTTGCCAGCCTGATCCACACCTTAGTCCGCTGGGGAGGAGGATAATAAGTCTTATGATAGCACCACCTCCTCCGATGCATCATCTGATAAATCCTATGCACCAAAATGCCGGAAGAAGAGCAAACGTCAATAGGACACCGAGATGGAAGATGCGCCAGGAGGGGATGAATCACCACATGATGGTGCAGCAGATGAACCAGAACCACCCCAAACCCCCCCATCTGGCAAGCAAGCTATGTCTAGCAAACGGTCTTGCCAACCCACATCAACATCAAACTCGCCTTCATCCCAGCTGGCAGTGAAACGGGGCCGAATCACCGAGCCCCAAACCGATTCAAATCCACCGCATCAAAGTTCTCGTCTGAAGGCAGCAACATCAGAAACAGTCAATGCTCAGCGAACAGGTCGTTCAGCAAGGTCAAAGTCACACAAAGGTCCCAAAGGGGACAGCGATGAACTTGTTGCCAACACAGGCGGCTTGAAAAAGCTCGGTTATTGACCACAACATCCTATACTTCATCACATTTGTACAATAGCATATCGTAATATTGTGAATGAAGATGCCCTCTCTCCCACTATGCCTTTTTGCATGAAGAGAACACAATCAATACCAATATAGGTCCATCAGTCCATTGCAACCTAGCGGATTGGCCAGCAAGTTGATCTGCCCTTGTCGTAGAATTCTTTGCACATAGAATTACAACATCAATTTGAACCACAACTGGTTTCCATCAAGATGAAATATGCACCCTGGTCGTAGAATTTTTCGTGCATGGAATTACAATGTTTGGCACAAACTACAATGGACATCCCAATGTCCACAAACACTGATATGTGAAATAACTACATTTTGTAGCAGGTCATCACTCTTTGCAAACACTAGTATGACCTGGACATTTTTTTTGGATAAATAATTACAATCATAAATTATGATTGTGGTTGTGATTATCCCCCATCACTCCCAAAAAGGGAATGGAAATGGGTAATAGGCTATTACCTGGGCCAGAAAGCAAGATGGCCTCAGCATCATCCTGGTTCAGTACAAGGGAGGAGGGTGGAGACCATGTGGTGAAGTTAACCTACAAGTTCTCATTTTTATGTTCAGGTGGCGCCAACAGTTATTGTGACAAAGTTTGTGTCACAACTGTGACAAAAGCGGTGATGCACAGGGGGAACAGAAATGTATCTGTGATGGCTTTTTGTCACAATTGTTGTGACACAAGCAGTGATTGCATACTCTGTTTCTCCAGGGGGAAACAGAAATCACCACTTGTGTCACAATATTGTAACAAAATGTTGTCACAGAGGCGTTCTGTTCCCCCTAGAGGAACAAAGTATGCATCACCGGTTGAGTCACAAAAATTGTGACACAAGTTGTCACTGCATTTTCTGTTCCCCCTGGAGGAACAGAGTGTGCATCACCGCTTGTTGTGTCACAAAAATTGTGACTCAAGTTGTCACTGTATTTCTGTTCCTCCTGGAGGTGCCGACACTCCTTCTATTGCAATAGGCTTTCCTCAAGCTGACGAAAGCATAGTGGTACATTTCTGTTCCCCTTGGAGGAACAGAGTATGCATCACCGGTTCAGTCACAAACATTGTGACACAAGTTGTCACCACATTTCTGTTCCTCTAAAGGGATCTGTGTGCTTTCGTCAGCTTGAGGAAAGCCTATTGCAATAGAAAGAGTGTCAGCACCTCCAAGAGGAACAGAAGTGCATCTGTCACAAAGTTTTGTCACAAGATTGTGACACAAACGGTGATGCATACTCTGTTCCTCTAGGGGGAACAGAATGCCTCTGTGACAATATTTTGTTACAATATTGTGACACAAGCGGTGATGCACACTCTGTTCCTCTAGGGGGAACAGAATGCCTCTGTGACAACATTTTGTTACAATATTGTGACACAAACGGTGATGCATACTCTGTTCCTCCAGGGGGAACAGAAAATGCAGTGACAACTTGTGTCACAATTTTTGTGACTCAACCGGCGATGCATACTCTGTTCCTCTAGGGGGAACAGAATGCCTCTGTGACAACATTTTGTTACAATATTGTGACACAAGCGGTGGTGCACACTCTGTTCCTCTAGGGGGAACAGAAGTGCATCTGTGACGACTTTTTGTCACAATTTTTGTGACACAAGCGGTGATGCATACTCTGTTCCTCCAAGGGGAACAGAAATGCAGTGACAACTTGTGTCACAATTTTTGTGACCAAACCGGTGATGCATACTCTGTTCCTCTAGGGGGAACAGAATGCCTCTGTCACAATATTTTGTTACAATATTGTGACACAAGCGGTGATGCATACTCTGTTCCTCCAAGGGGAACAGAAGTGCATCTGTGACAACTTGTGTCACAATATTTTTGTGACCCAACCGGTGATGCATACTCTGTTCCTCCAGGGGGTACAAAAATGTGCAAGCCAAAGTAAAACTTGCTAGAGTGCCCTACTGCTTGATGCCCTAGCGCTAGGGCAAGCTGAACCCGGTCCCTAGGAATTTTTTGACCCTAGGGCAGGATGACCCAGGTTAGGGCTAGGGATCCTGCCCTAGGGATTTTTCAAACCCTGGAACCCTAGGCCCCCTCTTAAAGCGGGAACCTCCGGGTAACTGCTTACACACCACCGTAAAATACACTATCTTGTATCACTTACGGCCTTGTGTGCTGAGCCACCCTAAGACCTCACAAGATTGCACCAGCAACAGACGCCTGACTGCCTCTATCCTTATGCTTTAATTTTTATTTGTATTGTCTGTGAATCGTTTAACCATAGACCCCTAATCACTTTTATTGTCTTTGTCTTCAGAGATCGACTCTGAAGGGCCTCCACTTCCTTTGAGTTTCTCAATTGTATTTCTTGTGTTGTGAGGAAAAGTTATGAATTTGATTACAGTCATTCACCCCTCAATGAGACACACTCCCCAATGATAAATCACCACATAACTTCCGAGCCCCCCCACCCTTTGTGATGAGATTTGGCATGTATATAAGTCGTTGCTAGGACTACTTATGTACCGAGTTTGATGTCAAGCGGGCAAGAAGTAAAGGAAAAAATCGAGGAAACATAGGGAACTTGGGTGTGAGGAGTCGCCATGCTTGCAACTTAACCACTCCAGTTTCATTGCTCTCTTCATCTTACCAATAGCTAGCCAGACAGCTAGTGAGCAAAAGGCCAGTGTTACACGTGCCAGTATTTGTTTGTTTTGATGAGACACGGAACCTAAGTCGGAAGCATGTTTTCATCCGTTACCCGAACAATCTGTAAATTAAATCACCATTCCCACATCCCCCGACCCCAATATTGCTTTGCTTGCTTCTTTTGACAAATGGTCCGGCATGCCAACTCTTTGGAGCGCCGTAGGCAGCTTGCAGCTGAGGCAGCAGAGCTGCACATGTGGAACACCGTCATTTCATATAGATCTCAGGTCCTGGATGCAACACAAAATCACAAAAAAGCTCCCAGCACCAGGGAACATGCTTCTAATTGTGATGTTTCCTATTCTACATTCATGCGGAGGCTGAGTGGTGGGAAAAGTCGGCTCGAGGCCTCAATAAACCGGTCGTGGCTGAATCAGATTGAGAGTGACACCCTGGTGGAATTCCTTCTCCTTATGTCTGACCGTGGATTCCCTGCTACCCGTGATCGTGTGAAGGAATATGCCTTGGAAGTTGCCCAGATATGCCACCCAAACCTTACTGGGCTCGGTAAAAATTGGGTTGACGGCTTTCTAGTACACAACAAAAACCGACTTGATGCCAAGTGGAGTACCAACCTTGAAAGTATTTGGGGTGGTGCTGTAAATCCTGCAGCTGTGCGACACTGGTTCCAGCTGTTACAAGCTCAGTATGACCATTTCAAATTTAGACGTGAGGATATCTACGCAATGGATGAAAGCGGCTTCCCATTTGGGACAGGACAAAAGGCCAAAGTCATTGCATGCAAGATGACAAAAATAGCACACATTCAACGTGATGGGAACTGCGAGAATGTGAGCATGATTGTAACTGTCTGTGCAGATGGCACTTCAGTGCCTCCAGTCATCATCTTTAAAGGGCAGAATGTGAACTCCAAGTGGTTGAAGGACAATCCTTTGGAGGCCGTGTGAGTTTCTTATCCATAATATCACTGCACATGCTTATACTTCCACTTTCTAGGGTCACTGTCTCAGAGAAAGGGTGGACAGACAATGAGATTGGCCTTGATTGGCTTCAAACTCTTAATGCTGCTACACAGGGAAAAGCCGCTGGCCACCCCTGTCTTCTCATAGTGGATGGACATAACTCGTACTACAGCCTTGACTTTATAACCTATGCACGCAACCACAATATTGTCGTTATATGTTATCCTGCACACACAACTCATGTCCTTCAAGGACTCGATGTCGTCATATTCTCCCTCTTGAAGCGGAGCTTCTCTAAACAACGGGATGCATTCAACTTGCAGAATTACCCCAAAAAACTGAACAAGTCATCATTCTTATTGGTCTTTGGCCGTGCATGGATGGAGGCCATGAACTCAACTCACATTATCACCAGTTTCCGAGTGACTGGTGTCTACCCTGTTAATCCATCCGTCATCCACCCTGAACAACTTGCTCCAAGCATTGAACATTCCACCCAGGGAGACCTTCCCCTCCCTGTGACCTCACCTGTTAAGCGCATTATGCACTTTCATGGTCAGCTGATGGCCCGTGTGTACCAGCGCAATGATACCCCCTCACCGATGGATGACTCACAGGATGTTCAGATGTACCTAGGGGGTCATGATGGAACATACAGTGAAGTGGATAATAATGAGTGTGATGGACCGATCATTAATCCCTTATTGTTTGCTGTGTCTCAGACAACACATGTCTGCACGCCACCGCAACCTTCTGGCTCAGATGCTGCAACAGTCAACGCTTGTTGTCAAACTCCTACCTTCCCTCCTTCCTACTCTCGGGCAAAGAAGCGCGCTGTTGATGACCTGGAACATATCATGTCATTCTCCTCATCCTCAAATTCTATTGTATCTTCCTCACCTCTTTGTTCAACCTTTAAACTACCCGAACGCGCATATGGGCACCTCAGCAATCTTCCTCCTATCAATTGGGATCTGATACATGATTACAACTCAGAGCACAAGACTCACCCTGAATTGATGAAGGAGATCGATGAAATGCGACACCAGTTTTGGAAGGCAAAGACACTGGTAGAAAGAGCCGTTAGTGTGGTGGATGCAGCAAATGCCCAGGTGGCATTGGGAGGAATGTATGTGTCTAAATCACAGACACAACTTCTAGCGCGGGAGGAATTGGAAAAGTCAAAAGAGAAAGAGGAAGGTGGACGTATCAAGGGAACGTTCGGCCGCGTTGTGACACATGAAGGTTTTCTGAGGGATCAAGCTGAGCACACTCAACAGAGGCTGGATGAGGCCGAGCTGGAGAAGCTGAAGGAGGAGGCCAAGGAGGGATGGAGAAAGTTCAATGAGACACAGAAAGCAGAGGTGGCGAAATGGTGAGAGGAAAAAGCGCGCTTAGTTGCGCTCAAACAAAGAGTGCCGGCAAAGCCATCAGAAATCCGAATGAGGGGTTGGATGGCTCAGAATTATCCACAGCTCCAGCAGAACAAGCCCCCTGCAATGCCGGAGGTGCCAGGGTGTGCTGAACAAGTGGCTGATGGGGTCAGCAGGGGTCCAACATGAGTGTGTGAACGCACTGTCACACTCTGTCACAGGATGCCACTGAGGGGTGAAAGTGCCCATTTCATACTCACTCCCGTACTCACTTCATGACAGGACTCCACTCAAAATATTGCCAGCCACTGATTCATATTTACGTTCTTCATGTTATTCAAATTTATCAATTTTTTTCATGGAACTTCATTACACTGAGGCCTGGATTAGTGAAATCCGCACCATTGGGGGGTGAATGACTGTATGTAACTCTTACAACAATCATGGCTTGACGAAAATGAGTGGGCAGTGCAGAGTTCAGCAAAGTGTGAAGCGCAAGCACTCTAGTCTCTGGTCAGAGGGACTAAACCTATTTTGCACAAATCAAAATTTTCAATTCAAATGTATTTGCAAATGTATATTATCATTGAAAATAAATTAAAAACCTCCACTATGCCAATAGTTAGCCTTGTTTCCTTGCTCGTTTGCTGTTGTGGGATTCTTGATGGGCACTGCATGTCCAGTTTGGGGGAATGTAGGACCCTAGACCCTGACATGACCTATGGAACTAATTTGTCTGTCAGAAAACAACAACAGTACAGTAAAAGGCATATACCCAAACCGTCTCACAGCCCATCCCATTACACCTAACAACATTAGTGCCATTGTCAATTTCACTTGTGGTAACTTTCATGGTACAACACATATGAATGCCAGTAGGACATTTGGGAGCACGGTGCATTGGACGGCCACTGGAATAGGTGGTTGGCAAAGCTGAGGCTGGGGAGGGTGGATGGGGGCTAGGAGAGGTGGGAATATGTTCAGGGGTGCTGGTATCGAGGTCATCATCAATATCTTGTTCCAGTGGCAGGACTCCGATGGGAGTCTGCCAGGCCCTGGTAATGGATCTGAGCATGGTGCATTTCCTCGCAAAGGAAGTGATGGAGGGAGTCGAGATTGTCAGGGACATGTCTGGGGTCAAGGTGGTCCGGGCATAGTGTCCGGTGCTAAGGACCTCACAGGGGGTAGATTGGGCATGCATACTGGCAGGCCTGATGCAGGACAGCGATCCCTGGCCACTTAGACTGAAGTGGGAATGTTGAGTTGTTATTAAAAGGGGAACTATGCTACTTACCTGAAGTGGGAATGTTGAGAAGAAGGTTACTTCTTCAGTTCCCACCCCAGGTGTGTTTATATACATGTGGCTTGGGTCACATGAGGTCAGCCATGTCACCCCACATACAGCTGCAGTCACCCGGGTGTCCCCATGGGGGATCCTGAGGGCGTATGCTGCATGCGCACACACTAGGTTGCGCCCTAGAGCCGTCCGGGGTCATCCAGGGCTAGGCATGTCATGTGTGCGTTGCGGGCAGGTCAATAATACATGGATATAAAGGAAAGGTCATCCATGTGAAATAGAAATAGAAATAGAAGTGGAGGAGGGATAGAGGGGGAAGGGATATGAGGGAAGGGTGCAGGGTGAGAGAAGGGGTACCAGGTGAGGTGGGCCTGGGTGGAGGCGGGTCGGGCAGGTGTGCCCTGACAGAGATCTACTGAGTTCTCTTGGGCACATACTGATGTCAGGTCTCACTCCAGGTGAATGGTGATGTTCCTTATTGGCAAAGAAAGACGCCTGTGGTGGCATTCGGAGCGTTGTTGTATGCGAGAGGTAGGAGTTCGGACCAATTATCCTGCTGGTAGTTACTATAGATGTGCAGGTACTGCTCAAGCGTCTGGTTCATCCATTTGGTCTGTCCATCTCCTTCTGGGTGATAACCAGAGGTGAAGTGGAGGCAGATGTCAAGGGCTTTACCAAGTGAACGGAAAAAATGAGAAATGAACTCCAGACCCCTGTCGGAGGTGATGTGGGAAGGAACTCCGTGTTTGGAAAACACGTGGAGAAGGAATAACTTGGCCAGTTCTGGAGAGGTGATGGTGTCATGGGTAGGGATGAAGATGCACTGTTTGGACAGGCAATCCACGACAACCAAGATGGAGGTGAATCCAGAAGAGGAGGGAAGTTGTTCAATGAAATCCATGGAGATGGAGTTCCAAGGATGTTTGGGGATAGGGAGTTGTTTGAGCAAGCTGTAAGGCTTGTGATGAGGAACTTTTGAATGGGCACAAGAAGTACAAGAGGACACGTAGTTCTTGACAAAGTTATGGATACCTGGCCAGGTATAATCATGACGGACTGGCTCCAGGGTCCAATTTTGACTGAAGTGTCTGGAGAGCTGGTGGTCGTGTTTGTCTTGCAATACTGTCAGGGACTTGTCCGGGGTTGAGGGAGCCCAGGTGTAGCGTCCGGGGCTGGGAGCCTGGTGGGGGGCAGATGTCAGGGCAATAGCCCCGAACCCCGAGTCATATGTAAATTAGATACATATAGTCACGTGGGTAAGCGGGAACCTCCAGGTAACTGCTTACACCACCACCATAAAATACACATACTTGTATCACTTACGGCTTTGTGTGCTGAGCTACCCAAAGACCTCACACTTTTTTAAGTGCATGAGGTGTGTTTTACAACACAACCCACAACTACATAATCTTAACATCTGACTCGGAAGCGCCTATGGCGCCTAAACACGCCCGCAAGGGCAAAGTCGCATCTGCAGCGACACTAAAAAGAAACGAGCGGTTCATTAAGAAACTGCAATCTCCCATCATGGGAGATTCAAACCAAAAACCGTTGTCAGACAATGACAAGGATCAACATGATCCGGCATTAGCAACCACCTCAGGGCTGGTCCCTGAAGGTTTTAGAAACTTACGTGGAGTAAGTGCGGGGCCAAATACCCCCAGAACTCCACGACATACCGATCTAACCCAAGCTGGGGAAGATCCCTCACCTCCTCACGAGGTGATTGACTTGCACGAAAAACGCGTATGCGCCAAACAATCAGCCCAAAAAGCTGATCGGATAGAGTCACAGGAAACTCCAGGGCCCAACTATCCCCTGGAGTCCCACCTCATGTCCCCAAGTCAAGCCCCAAAGGCAGACAAAGGGAAACAAAGGGAAGAGCCCCTGCATCAGCTATCCGAAAAACTACTGGACTTGTTCCAGGTTCCGTCTGAATGGAGGACGGAAAGTGAAGACCAACTTCTTCTCAGGCTGAAAGCCCAAGAAGGCGCGAAGATACGCCCTGAGAGCAGGATCTCCCAGAGTGCGGAAGCTCCAAAAGAACTTCTGCTGTTTACACTCCCACACACCATGCCAGACAAGGCAAGGTCGCCAACCTCAGAGGAAGTCTCCGAGATAATGAAGAGGAGGCAAACTGAAATGAGGGAGTTCGCTGAGGAAGCCTTACGTAAAAGTAAGGAAAAACCAGCGAACAGACCCCTCTATGAAAGGGAAGCACCCTCCGCAATGGCCTCACCTAAACAAAGCGAGCGTGGAGTGTTCACTCCAAGAACCCATTCTGGAACCCCCAGAAGCAGAAATGTCAACTGGGGAGAGTCTCTGCTTGCCCAACCAAACTTCCTCCTGGAAAACCAGGAATCGCACATAATAAACGTGATAAACTCGATCCAAAAAAAGATCAAGGAAATGAACCATAATAGTATGGCTCATCTAGAGATAACTCTAGAAAGAATGGCCAATGCAATCAATGCATTGACTGAAAAAATCAGCGAACAGACAAACTTGCTGAAGGAAATAAATTTCTCACAAAAGAGTGAGGAAACAAATAAACACCCCTGGACCACGGTCCAGGACATAAATAGAACTCGTGAAAAATTCACGAAAAGAACCACCAGTGAAAGCACACTGGAATATCATCAGTGACTCGACAGAGACGCTAAGGAGATCCTTCTCCCAAGGATAGGAGAAGACAATGCCGAAAGAAGGCATTGTTCAGAGATTAGGAGGAGAATTGGCATGTACCAAAGGTTCAGCCAAACATCCACTTATGATGGACCTCTCGAACAGAGAGGTAACTCAATCACACCCTCTCAAAACAATGAGAGAATACAAATACAACTTCAGGCGAATTTGCCTGAAACCAAAGAAACGCTGCAAGGAAGATTTCCCCCAGCAAAAACCCCCCCAAAGGAGATATCTCCATTGGATAGCGACCCGCAAAGGCAGGGGAGCAAGAAGAGTACCTGGAGAAATGGTACGAAAAGGCCATAAGAATGGCCAAAGTGAGAATACTCACTCCTTACCCAGAAGGAGTGAAGCCTGAAGCCCTAAAAAATGGGCCGGCATTCCCTGACAAGAAATGGTCAGGGGAGAACGACATGGAATCGTTCTGGCAGTGGTTCACAGAACTACTGGGATTCCTTGCCTTGCGAGGATGCAAAGGTCCCCAATTCGACAAAGTCCACCTGGACTGCTTGATTTGTGGATTGGGGGGGCCCGCGTTCAACCTCGGAATAAGACTCCAAGACGAAACTCTCCTCAGAGGAGATGAGGGCATGTTCCTCGAAGTTCTCAACATATTGATGAGAACTTTCATTAAAGCCTCTGCCGTGCTGAACGCGACAAAGAAGTACCGCAACGTGAAATACGAAGCGGAAAAAGGCCTAAAACAGTTCTACCTAGAACTGTCCAAAGCAGCGTCCCAGATGGTGACACCGCCAGACCAGGCGTCCTTCAATGCCAGGTTCCTAAACTACATTCCCTTGAATGGAAGTGGGAAATGATTGCTCATGATAGAATCAGAGCAGACTTCTCCTCAAACGAGGAGATGTTAAAAACAATACCTCATGTAGACGAGATAATCGACGGGCTAAAAATGTCTTCAGCCTACAAATCAGGTTACTATACCCGAACAACCACCATGGCAACCACGAGCCACGGCAGAGCCCTCCCATCAGGAAAGAAGGCTGAAGAGCTGAAACCCAGA